ATATGTATATATGTGTGTCTATAACAAAACATTTAACATTTCAACATTCTTTATAGTGAAAATTTACATTTTTTACAACGCACAATTTAGTGAAATTAATTGCATTCATCATGTAATGCAACCATCACCATTATCTATATCCAATTTTTTCCATCACCTTTAACAGAAGTTCTATACTCCTTAAGCAAAGACTCTCTCTTTGCTCCTCCTTTCTATCACTGGAAAACACTATAAACTACTAAACATTTACTTAGTCTAGATATTGTATATAATTGGGATTATACAATTGCCATTTTATGATTTACAGTTCACTCAGCATGTTTTCCAGTTTCATCCATCTTGTAGCATGTAATGGAAATTCATTTCTTTATAACTGAGTAGTACTCCATTGTCTATATGGACCACATTTTGTTCATTCATCTGCTTATGAATATTTAGATTGTTTTCACCTTTTGGCAATTGTGAAAAATACCTCCATGAACACTGAAGTAAAACTATCTGCTTGATTCCCTCCTTTCAATTCTTTGGAGTATATACCTAGGAATGAAATTATTGGTTCACATGGTAAGCCCAGGTTTAACTTTTTGAGGAATTGCCAAACTGTGCTCCACATCACTGTACCATTTTTTATTATTTGACATGGAGGCTTTCTTATCCTGTCTATCTGGAAGCTTTATTCTGGAAAGGTCATTCCCCACGCTGTCTCTCAGAGCAGTTTTCCTTTCCTGTAGCCTGTTACCAACACAGAGCTCAAAGACTTTATCCCAATTTCTGACTTTTGCTGCAGCACTCTTTCACAATACTAACTTGGATCTGAGGACTACCTCAGACTAAAATTCTGATGACTGATAGTGTCTCTTCTTCCCAGGTGGCAGCTTGTTGAATGTACAGAGAGAAAGTTTGGCATGTTGGAATGAGCACTGAAGTGATAAAGAACTGTTTCTGTTAATTCTGTGTGGTATACAGTTAACAGTTTTCAGCTGTAAAAGGTGAAGAAGTGTGACTAGAGGATCTTAACTCCTTTATAATCCTACTCTCAATCAAACTGGAATTATGAAGAATTTTTAACATAAAAGGCATTCAAGAGATTCCATACCGTAAGGAAAAATTATAAGGAGATAGAGTGCTACAATAAAGTCTTAATTTATTCAGCACCTACAAAATAAGACACCAGTATTAGGGGATTGATTAGAAACACTGAGCATTTCAGATGCTTTGTAATTCCTAAAAAAGTAAAAGTTTCATTTGTGGGGCTTATAATAATAATTATCTCACTGAAATTATCTATCAGAAAAAAGAGGGTGGGAAATTAATTCATATCATAATTATTTCTCTTGAGTTATGGTGAAAATCAATTCCAAAATAATTATCTAGGTACTTAGACAAATATATTCATTTTAGCAGAAAGATTACTTTAAAAAATGACTATAATTCCGTTAAAATGCTTTTAGAGGGGGGACATAGTAACTTGTTTTAACAACTCAAACTTAACATTGTTGTTGTTGTTATTTGCCATCGCGTCAGCCACGACTCACAGCGACCCCTCCTTCGGTTTCCGAGGCAGTATCACTACGGAAGTAGGATTGCCCAACCTTCCTTCCGAGGAGAATTTTGTGGAACAAAAGTGTTGCAAAGAAGCTTGCTCATCAATGATTAAGCTGAGAAATGGCTCGATCTTGCAGAAAGTCTTAAAATAGGTTTCATAAGTTTCTTTCTCTACATGTGCTACAAACGCTTTCTAAATAGTTACCATTGGTATGATAGTTTTTATGTCACTCAGTCATTCAATTTATTTATCGTCTGTGTGCAAGACATCCAATTGGGTGTTCGGGTTTGTTAAAACAGAAATTTAAAAATGTGGTAAGGACATTTTCCTTGGGAAACATTTAGTTCTTTATATTTCATTTGTAAAATTGGGACTTTCTTATTTTTTGTTGGTGCGATGAATAAATGCTCAGCTGCCAACCAAAGAGTTGGTAGTTCAAACCCAATCAGCTGCTTCTCAGAAGAAAAACCTGATTTTCTGTCCTGGTAAAGATTAAAACATAAGAAACCCTATGGAGTAGTCCTACTCTGTCCTTTAAGTACAGTATGAGTTAGGTTCAACTTGACGACACCCAAAACCAACAACAATAACAAGACAGAGAGTTGAAATTTTATAAAACAAAGAATACCTTTTGTTGTGTTCTTCATCTGCACTTGCACATAAGAATAAAAGAATGTTATTACAGAACAAGGCACCAGTAAGCATATAGGCACTGCCTGCAGAGAAAGTATTGATTCAGCATTTTTCATAATCATTTTTTATAATGGCAAAGAATTATGGGTATAAAAGACAACAATTCATAAGAGTTAAAGGGTGAGTAAAGACTGGGGAAATAAAAAGAAACAATACATTAAGAGACCATAAGTTTAGAAACTTTATATGATAATATGATTTACAATAAAACTGAAGCTGTATATTGAAACTACAGAATGGTAATATAAATACAAAGCCATTACACACATAAAAACACATGAAGGAATATATATATTCTTCTATAGATATTAGGAACTATGGTGGTATAGTGCCTAAGGCATTTGACTGTTAATCAGAAGGCTGGTAGTTCAAACCCACCAGCCACTCCTCGGAAGGAAGACTGGGCAATCTACTTCGGTAGAGATACTATCTCAGAAACCCAAGGAGGGGTTGCTATGAGTCAAACCAACTCAACAGCATATATATAGTTGTTACAAAGTGTCGAATCAGTTCTGGTACATAGTGATAGTGACCCTATGGAGAAGAGAAGAAAACACTTCCTTGTCTTGCACTATCTTCATAATCTTTGCTGTGCTTGAGTACATTGTTGTAGCCACTGTGTCAATCAATCCCATTGATTATCTTTCTCTTTTTTTTCCCTGACTCTCTACTTTACCAAGCATGACACCTTCTCCAGATATGGATCCTTTCTGATAGCATGTCCAAAGCTCATTAGATGAAGTTTTGCCATCCTCTCTTCTAAGAAGCATTCTAGCTGTACTTCTTCCAAAACAGATTTATTTGATTGTCTGGCACTCCATGGTATGTTCAAAATTCTTAGTTAACACCGTAACACAAATACATCGATTCTTCTTTGAATTTCCTTATTCATTGTCCAGCTTTTGCATGCATATGAGGTAATTGAAAATACCATGGCTGTGTCAGGCACATGTTAGTTCTCAAGGTGACAAGACATCTCTGCTTTTTAACACTTTCAAGAGGTTTTTCTGCAGTAGTTTTGCCCAAAGCAAAACATTGTTTGGTTTTTTGACTGCTGCTTTCATGGACATTGATTGTGGATCCAAGTAAAATGAAATCCTTGACAATTTCACTTTTTTCTCTTTTGATCATGATGTTACTTATTGGTCCAGTTGTGAGAATTTTTGTTTTCTTTATGTAGAGTTGTAATCCATATTGAAGGCTGTAGTCTTTGATCATCAGTAAGTGCTTCAAATTCTCTTCACTTTCAGCAAGCCAGATTGTGTCACCTGTACATTGCAGATTATTAATGAATCTTCTTCCAATCATGATGCCTTGTTCTCTGTTTTATAATCTAAATCTGTACTACCATACAGATTGAATAGTATGGTAAAAGGATACAACTCGGACACACAGATTTCCTGATTTTTAACCATTGTGGATAAATTCATATTCCAACCTAAACTCTTGAACTACTGAAAGGAAGTTGAGAATCAAATTCAAATACACAGTTTATTTTCATTCATGGTGTAGTTTAAATAATATATGAAAACTTGAAATACATGGGAGTTTGCAAGAGTATGCTTAAGGATTCTGTATATTTGCCAACAAAGATCTTTTTAAAGTGTTAAAAACAAAGATGTCACTTTGTAGACTAAAGTGCACCTGACATATATCGTAGTATTTTCAATTGCATCATATGCATGTGAAATCTGGATAATGAAAAGAAAGAGTGAAGCATTTGTGTTATGATGTTGGAGAACAGTACTATATGTACCATGGATTGCCAGAAGAACAAACACATCTGTCTTGGAAGAAGCACAGCCAGAATGCTTCTTAAAAGCAAGGATGGTGAGACTTTATCTCATCTACTTTGGACATAATATTAGGAGAGACCAGTTCCTGGAGAAGGACATCATCCTTGGTGAAGTAGAGGATCAGGAAAAAGAGGGAGGCTCTCACACAGATGGAGTGACACAGTGACTGCAACAGTGAGCTCAAACATAGCAAGAATTGGGAGCATGACACAGGACCAGGAAGTGTTTTGTTCTGTTGCCCATAGGATCACTATGAGTCAGAAGTGACTTAACAAGAGCTAACAAAAACAATACATTTATATACTAAATTTCATTCCTAGGATTGGTTGGATATGTTAAAATTTACATATATATGTCGATTCCAAGCTGACACAATTTGTGACCTTAGGAGTAGTCATTTAATTCCCTCCTAAGAGACACCAGATTTCCTCCTTTCAAACGTTATTTAAACATTTATACATTGTTTGACTTAAAATTCATCATTGTTTAGTGATTTAATATTTGATATACAAAGTGGTTACTTTCCATTTTCTCAGTATCCTTGATTTTGAAAATTTCTTCTAATTAAAATCAATTTGTTACAGAGAATGATATTTGTTTGATAACATTATGAAATTTTCTCTTCTTCATAATTTTTTTCATAATATTTATTATTTCCTTATTTCTTAGACTATAGATAAAAGGGTTTAAGAAAGGAATTACTATAGTATAAAAAATAGCAACTGGTATATCTTTCTCATCTTCCTTAAGTGAATGTGGCCGAATGTACATGATGAGAAGAGAACCATAGAATACTGAGATAGAAAGAAAGTGAGATGCACAAGTAGATAAGGCTTTGCCTCTTCCTTCTTTAGATTTCATGTGGAAAATAGTGAAGAGGATGAAAAGATAAGAGATTAAGACTATGATAACAGTGGAGACTTGAATTGACCCTGCAAGGATAAGTACCATCAGTTCATTGATATAAGGGTCAACACAGGAGAGTCTATATAATGGAAGAATATCACAAAAAAAGTGATTGATTTGATGAGATCCACAGAAGGTTAACCTTAATAGAAGTACCACATGAATAATGGATTGCAAGTTCCCAGCCATGTAGGCCCCTATGGTCATCTGAATGCAGAGTTGCTTCGACATCATGGTGTGGTACTGCAGAGGACTGCATATTGCCACATAACGATCATAGGCCATTACTGCCAGGAGAAAGCAGTCCACACCTTCAGCAAGGCAGAGAAAATAAAATTGTGCCATGCATTCATAGAGGGAAATCATTCTGTCCTCAGAAAACAAGTTATCTAACATCTTGGGGGTAATGGCACAGGCACAGCAGGAATCCATCAGAGCCAGGTTTCCCAGAAAGATGTACATGGGTGTGTGAAGACGGCGTTCCATGAAAATCAGCATCACCAAACCGAGATTCCCCACCATTGTGATCAGATAGATAGTAAAGAACACCACAAACAGAACGGTCTTCAGATCTGAGTGATAAGCAAATCCTGTGAGGATAAACTCAGTTGTCAAGGAATAATTGTCCTTGGTCATCTCTACTGTCTCTGTTGAGATATGAATTATGGAGAGATTATTGTTGTTGTTATGTGCCATTGAGTCGGACCCAACTCATAGTGACCCCTCCTTGGGTTTCTGAGGCAGTATCACTACGGAAGTAGATTGCCCCATCTTCCTTCCGAGGAGTGGCTGGTGGGTTTGAACCACCAGCCTTCTGGTTAGCAGTCAAGTGCCTTAGGCACTATGCTACCTATGGAGAGATAAGATTCTAATTTAGAATGTATCTAATCGCTCCTTCCAGTTTTCCTTGGACAACAGGGAGAACAGTCACTTCTTCAAATTTCCTCTACTGTCTCTGAAATAAAAGCAAATATACTTCTAAGGAACATTAGTTCCTTTAAGAATCATCTTATATGACCTCAAGTACTAAAGCTCAAGAATCACAAGAATATTTTGATAATTCCAGTGGATTCTTGCAGTGAAAAGGTTTGGGTATGAGAGGTTATACAAAGATAGTGAGCTAATACGTAACTCACTGCCGTCAAGTCAATTCTATGCATAGCAACCCCTCTTTGGGTTTCTGAGGCAGTATCACTATGGAAGTAGATTGCCCAACCTTCCTTCTGAGGAATGGCTGGTGGATGTGAACCGCCAGCCTACTGGTTAGCAGTCAAATGCCTTAGGCACTATGCCACCAGAGCTATACACAGTCCCCTATATTTAGTATACTCAAACATTTCAATGTCAGTGTTTGTATTGATAATCCTTAAAGTGTACTTAAAATCTGTGTTCCTGTATATAGATGTATTTTTTTCCCACTAAGCAAACATTTTTTATATACTATCCATTAAGGTTAAAATTTAAAAAAATATGCTATAGATATATTAAAATTATAATTTAGAAAGTGCGGAAAGTTCAAAAAGTATTAAGAAGAGGACAATTAAAAGAAATTTACCTTGAAAACTTTGGAAATGAAAATGAATTGGTTTCCTCAAAAAGTTAATTGCCATATATCATCTTCATATTCCATTCTACTTATGACAGAGCAAATTTTCTGAGACTACCTGTAAATAAAATATTATTTTCTATCTTTATCTGAAGGAGCTCTGGTAGCATAGTGGCTAAGACACTTGCCTGCTAACCAGACGGCTGGCGGTTCAAACCCACCAGCCACTCCTCGGAAGGAAGGTTGGGCAATCCTACTTCCGTAGTGATACTGCCTCGGAAACCCAAGGAGGGGTCGCTATGAGTCGGGGCCGACTCGACGGCACATAACAACAACAACAACAATCTTTATCTGAATGCTTTCCATTTCTAACATTAAGAGTTGTCTATTGTTCTAATATTATGAGATTTGATTATCATATTCTAATAATTATGACCATATTATGAGATTTGATAAACACCCATTATGGATCCTGTCCAGTTTGTTCCACAGAGACTTCTACCATTTGTCAGATAGAAGCTCTCCATTTGATTATTTGATTATTTATTTGAGGTAAAATTTTCCTGATCATTCCCAGATCTATTTATCTTTGTTGGAGTTCAGTGGTTGTGACTTTATGATATTACCAGAAGCAAGATTTCAATACTTGTTGGATCTAAGATAAATTCAAATTCCTTAAAATGGCATTTAAGGCTTTCTGTAACCTGATCCACTTCCCACATTCACCAATAGCTCTTCCTGCTTTTTCACTGTGTCCTCCATTGTTCAATTCACTCATTACCCAAAAACAGAGATACATTGCCAATTCCATATGCACTGATTCTGTCTATGCTATTATTTCTTACAGATTGTAATTCCAAATTCAGATATTTGGCACTTTGCCCAAATATCTATCTTTGTGATCCTTTATTTACCTATAATGTTTTTGAGCCTCTATTACATATAATGCTACTTAATAAAGTTTTAACTAAATAACTTAGGCCACGCGTATGTCTGTTTTCTGAGCCCTTAAACATATGTTATATACCAAATATAATCTAGAATTTCTCATCTTTAATCTACATTTTTAAAATATGTGCATGCACAATTTTTTTATTGGATCCCAAGTACTGTGAAATTAACTGTAATTTACACTTCTGTGATGTTATCTGTTAAATGCTAAGGTAGAAAGGCAGAATTTTTTGAAATCAGAGCCCCATTCTAATCACTTAGAACAAATGAACGTCTTTTCAGTATCCTAACTACGATATTATGTGAACTCTTTGGCCTTGGCAAATTTAGATTATTAACTTTGAAGAAGAGTCAACAAAGGAAAGTATTCAAAAATAGTTATTTGAAAAACATTTTTCAATTATTTGAACTGATTTTTTAAAAATTGTTGTACAAACATGTGTAACACAACACTTGCCAATTCAAGGTTTTCCAGATGTACAATTTACAGTTTTTACATTAGTCATGTTGTGCAATCTTATCTACTATATTTCTGAAAATATATAAAAATTATAAAACTTTCTGAATTATATCACAATACCCTACAAATTAATAAAATAAAAAACTAGGTTTTATCGTTTAGTTTTTTAATGTTTCAATAAAAAAGAAAACACTTTTAAGTATTCTTCAGAGATTTGAGAATACATTTTATATTGCTTTAAAAAATGATATCTCACAATCTAGTGATAGTAGTAGGACATCTCAACTGAAGATACTATTCATATAAAATTTATGCTCAAATAGATTTAGTTTTCCATAATGTTAAAATTAATTTTATAAACATCAAAAGGAAGACCCTGGGCAAACATTTTTTTTGTTTGTTTATTAAAAAAATATATTAAATATAAACAATCATATCATTCAGCTAAATTAGAAATAACTTTAAATACACATATTTGATTTATGTATTAGAATTATATTGTTATCTTACCTGTATGTTTTAAAATTCAACCTTATAATCAGAGAAAGTCAATATGAAAAGCAATACTGTATCTCATGCTACTCCCCACAGCCTTCAATTTAGAGAAAAGGTAGAGGCATAAGTCATGAGTTGAAATCTATGAACAATGTAAATAAATTTTAAGAAATAAATATGTATGGATGTCAATATTAAAAATAAAAAAAATAAGTATTTCTCTACCTGGATTTCTCTGAAAAGGGCTTGAAACAGCTTATAACTTACCTATGGAGTTAAGACTAATAGAATTTCTGAATATAAATCTTGGTCTCTGAAACATTTGGGAATGAAAATATTGGAGACTATAAATAGTCAATAACTATAATTGCAGTCCAAATTTCATTTTCCATCCAATACTACAGGGATTTTCTTGAACTGACATCAATATATTTCTGTGGGGGATTTCTGTGCCCAAAACATAGAAACCCTGTTGCTATTGCTGTTATGTGCCATCGAGTCGGTCCAAATCTGTAGATATTTATGGAAGTATTGTTGTTGTTATATTCCGTCATCGGACCCGACTCATAGTGACCCCTCCTTGGGTTTCCAAGGTGGTATCACCACGGAAGTAGATTGCCCAACCTTCCTTCTGAGGAGTGGCTGGTGGGTTTGAACTGCCAGCCTTCTAGTTAGCAGTCAAGTGCCTTAGCCACACTACCAGAGCTCCTAGAAACCATGCAGCATTAGTAAAAGATGATCTGTAAGACATGTTCAAAGCAAATGACCCTCACTAATGTCTGTGATGATTATCTTAAAATCCTGTTCACTATTCTGTGCAAAAAAAAAAAAAATGTAAAATGCATAGAAAAAAGTCTCAGACTGATTTGACCACTTATTGGAGAAAGTAGATTTAATGTGGCTTATGAAAAATAATTAGAGCTATTGGGGGAAGTACATTTAATGTGGCTTATGAAAAATAATTAAAGAGATTTGGTGGCATAGTGGGTAAGTGGTTCAAACCCACAAGCTACTCTGTGGGAGGGAGATGAGGTGATCTACTTCTGTAAAGATTTATAACCCTAGAAACTCTATGGGGCTTGCTATGAGTTGGAATTGACTTGATGGTTGTGCGTTTGGTTTTGGTTTTATGAAAAATAATTAGGATTTGGTGAAAAGATGATTAAAAAAGAAAAAAGGTGTGATGAGTTCATCCAGGGTCAATGATTTCTTCACTCTGTTAACTGAATCTGTACCCACGTCTTTCGAGAACTCACTAGAAAAAGTTTGATATTTCTGTTTAGTTCATGAATTACTGAACTTTTTCTCCTGATCTTTTCTATTCACCCTAACTGTTGTTATTATTGTTGTTCTCTTTACACCACTAATCACATCTCAACATATTATGGGGTTTTTTTTTTTGTTGTTGTTTTGGTACATGTATTATCATCATCCCCACTCTGTGGAAGCAGACTGCCTCATCATTCTAATGTTGGGCAGATGTTGGGTTCACACCACCAACATTATGGTTAGCAGAATAATGCTTTAAAGACTATACCACCACAACTCCTCCTGGTATCAGTAGTAGATAATTATGAATTAATCAAAAAAAATAACTTCCTGGTATGCTATGAAATTTAGTAGATAAAAAGCATTTGACTGCTAACCAGAAGGCTGGTGGTTCAAACCCACCAACCATTCTTTGGAAGGAAGGTTGGGCAATCTATTTTCAGAATGATACCACCTCAGAAACCCAAGGAGAGGACACCATGAGTTGGGTCCAACTTGATGGCAGTGTGTTTGGTTTTTGGTTTGGTTAACCCTAGGATATTGAATGACAGGAGACCAGAACTGCCCATTATGAGCTGGAATTTGTTATATTAGCCAAGTATAAATTCAGGTAGGCATAGGAACAATCCATTATATGATGAAAGTGATATATCCAGGATCAAAATTAAAGAGGGCCAGGGACACAGTAAGCTGCATTAATAGGGTGGCTGAGACTCTAAAGAACCAAGTAGACAGAATAACTCAGCAAGCTGAGACCATGGAGTTCTGTCATCTGCAAAAACATTGCTGTAAAAATGGGCATATGAACAAAGTAGATTTTGTGGCTGAGATAGAGGCTATACCTACAAACATGGGTCTTACTCTCCAAGGCTAATCTAACTACCATCACTCCCAAATAAACAACTTGCCAATGTC